CCCATAACAGGGACATTTGACCAGGAGCGCAGGGAAGGCTTTCCAAGGAAAGAGCACAGTAAGATCTGAAAACAAGTCCGGAATTACCAGGCAAGAAGGGTGGGAAGGTTTACTGGGCTACAAAGACAATCATTCAGAGACTGCTGTGGGCAGGAGTATGGCAGGTATGTGGCTGGGAGGAGGCCAGAGCACTGGGATTGAGGTGGGGCAAGAGGGGGATAAAGGGGAGACTGGAAGGGCATTTTCAGGCAAGAACAGGCTAGAACTTGCGCTCTGTTAAAAAATTCTGTCTTTATTTCTGTAGAAATTAAAAGTCATTTAAGGGTCTTGTATTTCTTTTTAGGGTAGACCAGATGGATGTAGGGAGACCAGTTTGTTCTAATATTTTAGTACCTGAGGGCGTAGTTTGCTCTAGTGTGGAAGTAGTGGGTAAGAGGAGAATGGAGTACATTCAAGAGACATTTAGGAAGCAAAACAAAAAACAAACAAACACACACAGAATTGGGTAAGTTCTTATATTTTAGTACCTGAGGGCATAGTTTGCTCTAGTGTGGAAGTAGTGGGTAAGAGGAGAATGGAGTACATTCAAGAGACATTTAGGAAGCAAAATAAAAAACAAACAAACAAACAAACACAGAATTGGGTAAGATACAGGGAGTGAGGGAGACGGAGGGGTCAGTGCTGGTTTTCTGAGTTGTGCAAATAGATATACAGCAGTGCCATGAACTGAGACAAGCAAAAATGGAGGACAGCCAGTATGGTGAAGGAAGATCCTGGGCTGGGTTTCTGACACGTTGGATTTGAGGTTCCTTGAGACATCTAGGATGTCTTAAATCCTTAAAAGACAATGTCTTTTAAGAAGACATTGGGTGCATGAATTTAGGTCCTAGAGGTAAATTTGGGTTGGAGATGTAACTTGTAGGTCTTCTGCATAGAGATAATAATTGAAGCCAGGGGTGTTGATGAAAGCATCTGGGGAAGCTAAGTATGAATCAACATGACACGACAATGGCAATAATTTCCTGTCTGCTTTAAATGAAGGGATAACTACTAATTCATTTACATGTAAACTTGATGAAGTGACTTAAACAGATTTAAAATCCTCTCAAGTAATCATTCATATTTATCTACCTGCAATAGATATCCAAAAATGACAGGGTTATCCACAGCCTAGAAAAATAAGGTGTAGGAGAGGATACTCTTGCTATCTTATCAAAGCTCAGAAGGGAGTGGAGATCAAAGCTAACTCCCTCCTTATTTGAATCTACTAAAGCCATCACATAAATCAAACACATATAACCTAAAACATCCTACTGCTTTAAATTGACTTACAGTTTTAAAAACATTTTGAAAACAATTTTGTTAGAAAATTTGGGAAATCATATGGACACAAAACTTAAATATGCTTGCACTATAATCGAACAGAACTCTCTGGGTTGTCTTACTTTCCTGCAAGGAAATAATCTTACATGCATTTTTCTTATTCATTGGTAGTGAATTCCAATACCAGTTGCTTACCCTACTGTGTATTAGATTGAAGTCCAGCAGAAAACATTTGTCCTTCGGGCATCCCTGGGTGAGTCTAAGATTGCAGTGATTTATTCTAGGGAAGCATGGCTGGGATAGGGAATAGACAGGGCTCTGTGATTAGTGGGCTGTCAGTGGGTGCATTGTGGAAAAGGAGATTATGCATTTCTCATGAATTATGAGCAATTCATAGTAAGTATGAATTGCTACCTGTGAAATATTTAAATATTAAATCTACATTTATTAATTACTGTGGATTGTAAATCACATAGTAGCTATGTGATATTGGATAAACTGTTGTATGTTATTCTACCCTTTAGATTGTCTCTTTGCCCCAATTTTAGGTGGCTCAGTGTGTAAGATGCCCTCCCAAGCGAAAGCTGTCTTTCTTTCTAGTTCTAGCAATGCAGACACCTGTGCAAACTATGGAGGATACACATTTGATCAATGATGTCAGGAATACTAGTGCTACTTGAAAATTCTTATGCTAAACTCAAGTTTTCTTTATAATAAATTGTTCCAAAGCCTTAAAAAGTTGAAAGGAAAAACAACAACAACAACAGCAGCAACAAAAAACACTTCTGCTGAACTTATACATAGGCTAGAATATTCACTTTGAAAATCTGGGAGTTGTTAGCTTGGCTAAACCACAGACCTGGCTTGTGACTCCTTTCCTGTGACCTGTTAGCTTGTTTTATGACTGGAATGCGATACTTGCCTCCAGTTAAGAACCCCACAGCTTCACATTTAAAAAGCCACTAATGTAGGCAAACTGAGAACAGGAGTGTAAAGAGCCTGAGTTTTGCTGGGTTTGTGGCTTGGATTTACCATTGATTGGCTCTGTGGCCTTGGGCACTTTCCTTCTCCCTGTGGAGTATCTGTTTCCATACCCGAGAAAGGCTCTGCTCTGGGATTCTTGGATCAGGTTTCCATAGCTCATCTCTGGGTGCTCTGTGTCAGCTGAGCCTGTGCATGGCCCTCCCGCTTGCCGTTAGAGAGGCTGGCTGTGTGAAACTGAACAAATTACCTTATCTCTGTACCACATTTTTCCCAATTAAATAATGGGGTATTTATAAACCTACCACACGGTGCGGTTGCAAAAAATTAAAAATTACTAAATACATGTAAAGCACTTAGGACAATAAATTTTTTTTTTTGCTGTTGCTCTTATTTACTTCATGCTAAGTTTGATGCCCTCATCAGCACTTATTCCTAGTCTTCATAAAATGTCTATTTGTACTCTACAGGCCTGGGTCTGTCTAGTATACACAGAGATTGGAATCCAATGATGCGATACATTTCACTTGGGAAGAGAAACCTTGTAATGAACCCTCTTTCTAGCTCTTTCTTCACTGCAGTCACAGAGACTTCTCTCTCTTCCCCGCTTTCAGCAGCCCGTCACCCCCAACACTCCTCCCTCATATCCGTTTTCACTCTCCCAGCCCCTACCTCCTTTATAATATGCTAGACCAGTGATGCAGGTAATGATTTTGTGGGTGACAGTGTGTGAGTGCATGGGAGTGACTATGTGTGTGTGACTGTGTTAGTGTATGTGAGCATATATGTGCATACATGTGTCAGTGTGTGAAAGTGTGTTAGTGTACGAGACAGTGTGAGTGTGAGCATGACAGTGTGTGTGTGAGATTAGGTGAATGTGTGCGAGTGTATAGATGTGTATCTGAGTGTGACAGTGTGTGTTAGTGTATGTGAGAGTGTATGTGAACAAGTGTGAGTGCGCACGAGTGTCCAAGTGTGTGTGTGTGTGTTAGCGTAAGTGTGGTAGTGTATATGAGTATATATGAGTGAGTGTGTGAGTGTGAGCATGTGTGAGTATGAGGGAGTCTGTCAACATGCGAGAGTGTGTTCATATGAGTGTGTTAGAGTGTATCAGTGTGAGACAATGTGAGAGTGTGTGTCTGTGATTATGAAAGTATGTGTGAAGCTGAGAGTGTCTGTATGTGTGAGAGTCTGTTATGAGTGTGAGTGTGTGGATAATTCAAGGCAACCAAGGTAAAATTGTTTCATGCTATCCCTAAGGCAATTATTGCTGGGTCTTATACAATGTCACCACTGTAAAATGTCACCACTTTTAAAATGAAAAGAACTCCTGGGAGGAATGCATGGGACAAGGGCCAGGATGCTGAATTTCAGAGAGTGGTATAGTGTAGCACTGACTCTGGATCCAACCTAAGGTAGTCTGAAACAAGCATATGTTTCCAGCGACATGGTTTTCATTCTCTTGTGATTATTTTACTTTTTCCTTATGTGTCCCAAGTGCTCTTCCTATAATAATGATTTATAAGAAGGAAGCCTAGGAATGAAGTAAAAGTATTTTTTTAAAAACATTTTTTCTTTTCTCCTTTCAAAAATATTTCTAATTGTGATGAAATAAATACATTTTATGCAAACATGGGCTGTAAAGCTTTCTTTTTACTTTCCTGTCCTTACTTCAAGTCAGATAGCTTCCCATTGACAAAATCAAGTACCATTCACTGTGTCTTCCCACATACATGTACAATATCCTCTTTTTCCAATTTGATGTGAAACTTTGTTGCTTTTCATGATAACTTTGTATCTGCAGTGCTTTCCTCAGCAGTTCACTATAGACTACTGTATATTACTGTTAGTTTCATTGATAGTATTTGAAAAAGCTGTGTTGAGAAGTCAGGTTCAGGCAATACATTTAAATTTTCTAAGAGGAATGTGCAGCCTTCCCCAAGGATCCTTCTGTCTGTTGGGAAGATTTGCTTCGCAAAGGTCTGCTCAGCTGTCTGCTCTGGAAGCATGCTTCTCCATTTCATCACAAGATTTCTGAAGGAAATGCAAGCCTTTCTGTCTTCAGTTGCCCTGTTTTAGGAGAAGGCTTTCTGAAATGGAAGCTTAGGAAATAACTCCTGGATCAGTTGCACAGAGGGGATACCGAGGTCTGAAAAACTCTAATTCCAAAAGGATTAAAATAAGACACATTACTTCTCATCCATCCCCCAGGGTTAAGATTAATTCGAGTATGATGATCATACGACATCAAATATGTCATCCTTTGACTCCCTCAGACAGGACACTTCTCCCTGTTCTGAAATGTAAATAAGCGTGTGGTCACTTGTAATGTATCTTATTACGTTTGAAATCTTAACTATTACCCTAACTTCACTTACTTTAAACATTTTAATGAGTAAAAGAGTAATTTCAACAACCAGTTAGCATCGACTCAAGAGGCTCCCTGGGAAAAGGGGGCAGCATCATGCCCCTTTCTGGCTGGACTTCGGATTCCCCTTTGGAACATCAGGATTTTAGACCCAGGACTGTGAAGAACAGAAGCTACAAAATATCTGAGTTTCTGATTTTGGTATGTGACATATAGTGGTTGGAGCCAGTGAAATTCACAATTTCAGCTGAAGCAATTGCTAATTCTTCAAACATTTTATTTTACTCACCAGCACAAGGAATAACCAACTTGAATTTTTGCCTTCCAGGTACATTCATTTCAACCAACTAGAAACGCTACAGCCAGAGACCTTTGGAGACCTTCCGAAATTAGAGCGACTGTAAGTGTTGACCCTTTAGATGTCCTTTGCTTCTGCTTTACATTTTCCGTTTATACAACCCATCTGACTGCCATGGAGATCAGGCCACTTTGCCGTGAGCTTTAGAGGCATAGCCTGTACCTTGGCACTATAAAACAGAGTTAATATAAAGCTTTCTATAGTTTAAGATCAATGGAGAAAAGGTGAAATAGCCAATTAAAAAATAGGGCAAAAGAGAGGAAGAAGCACTTCACAAATGAGGAAAAGCTATTTAAAAAACTTACATCAGGGGCCGGGCATAGTGGCTCACACCTGTAATCCCAGCACTCTGGGAGGCCGAGGTGGGCAGATCACCTGAGTTCATTCAGGAGTTCGATACCAGCTTGGCCAAGATGGTGAAACCCTGTCTCTGCTAAAAATACAAAAAAGTAGCTGAGCCTGGTGGCATACTCCTGTAATCCCAGCTACTCGGGAGGCTGAGGCACGAGAATCGCTAGAACCTCGGGAGGCCTAGGTTGCAGTGAGCCAAGATGGTGCCACTGCACTCCAGCCTGGGTTGCAGAGTGAGACTCTGTCTCAAAAAGAAAGAAAGAAACAAGCAAACAAACAAAACTTTACAGCAGAATGTTGTATAGCTGATCATATACATCCCCTATGACCTAGCAGTTTCACTTTGAGGTACATACACAGCAGAAATGCACACGTGTATGCACCAGAAGATGTGTTCTTGTATTTGCAGCAGCATTATTTCTGGTAACTCCACACTGAGAACTACTCCAGTCTCCAATAACAAAATAGTAGAGAAATAAGCTGTTGTACATTCATAAAATAGAATACTATACTGCAAGACGGATGGATGTCAGAAACATTCTGAGAAGAATAATCTAAACACTGGAAATTCCATAGTTCTATTTTATCCTCAAAAGAAATTTTAAGAGATAGGAGTAATATATGCAGTATTGAGAAGTCAAATGCTGCTTACCTTTGGTGGGAGAGAGGACGCTAGAAACGGCAGGAGGAGCCTCTGTAGGCCTGGCAATGTTTTGTGTTCTTTGTTTTTCCTGGGTGGTAATTACACAGCTGTGTTCACTTTCAGGCAAGGCATTGTACTCTACATCACAATGTCTGCACTTTTCCGGATGTATTTTGTATTTCAATAAAGGCTTATTAAACAGACAATGACAAACCACAGGGGCACTTGGACAGCCTTCTTCTGTTTTGTCTTTTATCGAATAAAGACACTCTACTACTTCAGTTTTTCTAATGCCTTATATTAATAAATTCATTGTATCTAGCTGATGATATGCTATTTTTCTCTGAAAAGAAAGAAAGTGTGGAATTACATAGCTAACCTTAACCAGAAATCTGTTTTCCCTAAAAGAAAATTTGAATTAAAATTTTATGTTTAAAAAAGGATGCCCTTAAACAATACACAAAATAGATCAGTAAAATTAAAGACTAAGGAGAGCAAGTTAACCACTTTCTTATGCAGTTACTGCAACCTCATTTGCCTATGGAAGTGTAGCAGTTGCAAGCCATACAATCACATGGTTTGCTTTTGTTTACTTTGTGCTGGAGGCATGTGATCGTGAATAGGAAATGAGGAATGAAAATGTGTTGTACTACTCCTTCTCTGCTCTAACCTGTGTGAGCAGGGAGCCAGTCCTGTGCAGGACAGCCATGGTGCAAAACAGATGGATGGTTCAAGATTTAGCATCACAATGGTTGATACCTTCAAAACACATGAGACACCAACTGTAATTTGAAGGATTTTTTTTTTTTGTCAAATTGTTAGTCTTGTATTCCTGTGGTGTAGCAATAAACCACTAAGCCTTGTATTTTTGCTGTGAAGCCAATAAACCACCAAGACTCAAAATCCTCACCAACAGCAGCCCTGAAAACTGTGAAGATGGGAAGGGGAGAGTCCTGCTGCCTGGGCAGGTGTGGAAGCCCTGGCAGGCAGGCCCATGGCAGTGGTGGTGGGGCTTGCCTTTATAGAAAGGACTTCTTAGCTTGGGATCCATGAGTGGGCTCGGAAGGCATGGAATGGACCAACTAAAAAAGCTTTAGCTTCTGGTTTCTTTCCTATTGTGTAAATATATTTGTATCTATTTTAACCTTGTAGTACAGACATGTAATATTAAATCATATCACACAATACGGCTCCTGAAAGAAAACTTGATCTTGGACCCTCTCTCCAAAGGCAGCTTCTTTTAGCTATTTCTCTTTTATATTCTTTGGTTGTTGCCATCATAATTATCTAGTGTATTAGGGTTCTCTAGAGGGACAGAACTAATAGGATAGATAGATGCTATATAAAGGGGAGTTTATTAAGGAGTATTAACTTACATAATCACAAGGTCCCACAATAGACCATCTGCAAGCTGAGGAGCAAGGAAGCCAGTCTGAGAACTTGGAGTCTGATGTTTGAGGACAAAAAGAATGCAGCTCAGGAGAAAGATGTAGTCTGGGAGGCTAAGCCAGTCTAATCTTTTCATGTTCTTCTGCCTGCTTTTTATTCTGGTCACGCTGGCAACTGATTAGATGGTGCCCTCCCAGGTTAAGGGTGGGTCTGCCTTTTCCAGTCCACTGACTCAAATGTTAATCTCCTTTGGCAACACCCACACAAGCACACCAAGGATCAATATTTTGTATCTTTCAATCCAATCAAATTAACACTCAGTATTAACTGTCACAACTAGGTAATAGATTTTTATTTCATTCCTTTTCCACTGTAGAAGATACCAATTTTCACTCTGAAGATCAGAATTTATCTTGCTTATGCTATCCCTGTGTGAAACAGACACACACACCTGCATGCACACACACATGCATGCACTCACACAGACACACACACACACTAGAAGGTCAATTACATACCAATAAGTGAACTAAATATATATATATATATATATATATATATATACACATCTTCACTCTGTTAACTATGTTATTATCTTTATATTACTCAGATATTCAACAAGTTTAGCCTACCCTGCAACTACAATGAAATTTCTTGCTGTTGACCATAAATTACCTTGAACAATTGAAAGTATATATTATTTTAACTAAATTATTGTAGGATCAGGAAACATGCTCACATTTTATTTCTTTCTCTTTGTGTAAATATTATGAATCTGGTCACTTCAAAAATAATTGTCTTAATAAAAGGGCAATTTTCTTGTGTGATTTAAATTATTTAAAATAATGTCATGTCTTTGGTTCATATTTGAACTGTTACTTTCGTATATATTTTTTGCTCTTCCTGGACATTCTAAATGCATTATGTGCCTTTGCAATATCTTCACATTTTTTATGTCACCAAATTATATAAACCATGTCATTTCTCTTTTACACCAGAAACCCGTTTTCTAATTTGAACTGACTTTTCATTAGGATTAGTGTCATCTGCCATCAACCTGGAATTTCCCTTCACTAATTGCTTGAGTGAAGTCCATGGTTTCTCGTCTCCATTCTTCCTTTTTCTTGTGTTACTTCTTTGTTCTGCTGGAACACATGTTGAAGAACTTACTATGAAAAGTCTTAAGGGAGATAGTTTTGATAATCTTTGAATGCCTGAAATTGTATGTATTATTTCCTCATAATTAGTTGATAGGTCATCTGTTATAAAATTATAAGTTCAAGAAGTTTCCCTTGATCTTTGAAGAGTCCATTCTATTTCTTCTAGCCTATTATCATTCTGTTTTATAGGAAATAAATTTTATTTTCACAGAGAGGTTTAAAATTTTATGGTTATTCTTTATTTTTAAAAATCTTACAGGCCAGGTGTAATGGCCTGCGCTCCCAGCACTTTGAGAGGCTGAGGTGGGAGGATTGCTTGAGCCCAGAAGTTCCAGACTAGCCTGGGCAACATAGCAAAAACCAATCTCTACAAAAAATAAAAATAAAAATAAATTAGCTGAGCATGATGGCAGGCACCTGTAGTCTCAGCTACTTGGGAAGCTGAGGAAGGAGGACTGCTTGAGCCTAGCAGGTTGAGGCTGCAATGAACCATGATTGTGCCACTGTACTCTAGCCTGAGTGAAGGGTGAGACCTTGTCTCTAAATAAATATATAGTTAAAATCAAAATAAAATCTTATAAATTTACATCAAGGAATGACACTTTTCAATTATTGGAGTTTTCAATGTAAAGATAAATCCATCCACAATTTTGAAAGATTATCTTTACTTATTTATTTGACTATGTTTCCCTTTATTCCTTCTGTCTTCTCTTCTAGACATACTGTAATTGAATATTAGATCGCTGGATCTCTACATTTTTTATCTTTTGTTTTATAATATCTGTTATTTTGTCATTTTGATTCCTAATTTGGTATGTTTTACTTAATTTTTGACATTTACTACGTGAAAATATTTTTTAATCAGAATTTAATTCCTAAGAGATCTTTCTTGTTTCCCATTTATTTATCTTCTATAGAAACTTATCCTTGTTTTATAAGTATGATATATATTGAAGTCTCTGAGTACATGTAATAATTGTAATGCTCTCTTACTTTTTTTCTCTAGTTATTGGAATTTCTCTGTTTCTTCTGGCATTGTTTTCCTTTTTTAAAATGTTGGTCTTTCTTTTTCATGTTCCTAATTAACCTCCCATGCCTTGTGATTCTTCATTGTCTATTGACATTTGAAATTAGAAGCATTTCAATTGGTAGTGTGAGTTTCACCTGCTCTCTTTTACATAAGTTTATTTTCTTACAAAATTTCCCCTTTGGTGTAAATTTTAGTTTGCACAATTGGAAGTAAAATGCAGGTTTATCTTCCTAAAATTCCAGAATGAGGAAGGCTTTTTCGCTTGGGTTTCAGCTCCACAAAAATTCCATTACTTTTCTTCTTTCAATTTGTTCAATTTCTTTGGAAAAACATCTCTATTTCTATGTCTATCTCATCTATCACTACATCATTAACATTTTTCCTCTTAGCTGTTGGTGTTCTATATGGATGGTGGCTACTAATTATTGTGTTTCTCCATCCAGGTCTTTGTGAACTCTTGTTTCCAATCTCACTTCTCCCTCCTCTGCCCCTGCCTTAACTGTTTGGGGTCTCTGGGTGACACACAGTCAGATTGCTCCTGCCTCATAGGATTCTCTGGACTGCAGCTTTCTCTCCTATTTCATCTGTCAACATTTTCTCATGCATTTTATTTATCCAGAATTTGCTGAATACTCTTATCTGTTGGTGACCTTCCACATTCTGCCCTCTTGGTGAATATGGATATATTTGTTCATATTAAGCATCCCGGTAATTATTTCAGTGGAGACTCAAAAGAGATTGAGGAAGATTTGCATATCTACTTCACTATTTTGGACTAAAATTCTTTTCCCCGTAACTTTGAAATTTGTTTGCTGAAATAATATTTTTATTGCTAAAATTATCCTATTAAGGCATTCCTAAATTCAAGCAAATTTACCATGACTTTATCTGCGAACTGCACATAGTCAAGTAATGTGCATTCAGCAGCAGCAGCACAATGCCTAGAATGGTTCTTTACTGTCATGATTTGACAAAAGCCCCTTTGTGTTATATTCATAAATACTAACCTCTAACACCTGGGTAGGAATGTTCTTTTCAGTGAAGTCATGATCTCAATACAATCAAGGAAGTCCTGCATCTCCCTCTTTTCTATAAAAAGAAGGATTGATTTGAAAATCTTCACTTTACCAAGTTAGGTTTTCTCCAAAAGATAAGTCTTATCTTCAAACACAATCAACTACTTACTATTATGTTACCAAGCAAAAGAATCCAAGCACATTTAGTGGAGCCACATGGATTAGAATGTTCAAGTTGCTTTAGAGCTTGGTGCTCAGGCAGAAAATCGAAGTGGTGCTTTCATTAAAGTATGTCAAGCATTACAGAATTTAGACTTTTTGGCTAAAAATTTATGGTTGGTATTAAAGAACACAGAGTCCACCAGACTGGACAATGTTGTCTCTATCTGGTATGCACCTCACTAAAGCTGAGGCCATTTCAAGAAATTTTGTCAAGGAGTAGGATCTGAATATGACTTTTACTCTGCTTCTCAAAAGTCTCCTGGATTTTCAAGGAATACATCTTGAAACATTAACCTAAACCTTAGCCAGAAGATTTACTTTCTTAGAACATTTATGAGGAAAGTGCTCATTCATTACTTGACTTTTTTGGATAATATGCATGTTTCTGTCACAGGAACGAGACAAGTCTTTGTATAAACTCTGTATAAACTTTGTATAAAAGTAGATACTGCTCAAATACTATTTTTTTGATCAAGCATCTTTGACAGAAGACAGCAGCAGCAAATAATTATATAAAATTTTCGGCCCGGTGCAGTGGCTCCTGCCTGTAATCCCAGCACTTTGGGAGGTTGAGGCAGGCGATCATGATGTCAAGAGATGGAGACCATTCTGGCCAACATGATGAAACCCTGTCTCTTCTAAAAATACAAAAAATTAGCTGGGTGTGGTGGCATGCGCCTGTAGCTACTTAGGAGGCTGAGGCAGGAGAATCACTTGAACCCAGGAGGCGGAGGTTTCAATGAGCCGAGATCTTGCCACTGCACTGCAGCCTGGCAAGAGTGAGACTCTGTCTCAAAAGAAAAAAAAAATCTATCTATCTATCTATCTATCTATCTATCTATCTATCTATCTATCTATCTAAACTTTTTAACATAGGAAGAAGTGCTTTTCAGCTTCTTGTTGAGAGTAAAGCAATCAAAGTCGTCTACAAGCAGAAATCAACAAATGCATTGCAGAACTGTTTTGAAGATTAATTTCACGAAAGTTGAAAAGAAGAAAGGAAAAAAAGAAACTGCAAGCACACATTTTTGCACCCCATGCAAATCAGTACTGCTAAAACAGTACTACTGTTTTAATTTACTGAATACTACTAGGATAGTATTCTAGGAGATAAACAATGACAATTATTATCATAATTTCTCCTTTATACATAAAGGGACTGAGACTTAGATTAATCTGCTTGAAAGGAAATTGTTATAGAAATATCAAGTAGCAGTAATATCTGATTTGGGAATCATATAACATGTTTGACATAAACTGTTGTAAAATATCATTGATTTGGATATTTTGTCACCATTTGTACAAAATTAAGAAAAAAATTCAAGAATGATTTTTCAATATTTACATACCTTGCTTCATACCTTGCTTCAAAATCTGTGATGATGGAAATGTTTTACTTTTCTTTTGATTTGTTTTGCTTGTTAAGCAATAAATTCTGGTCTGCTTGGCTTGGAAAATAAATAATATCTTTCAATATTCAATCATGGATGCAATTTCCAGCCTCTAAAATACATTTAAAGAAAGAACAACAGTCTTTCTACTGTTGTTATCTTGCAGAACTGCACTACTTATAAAATAATGAAGAAAGCTTTGATTTTACCTAGCAAAAATAAAGCAGGCATAAATTGTCCTGGTAATTTGGCTTTTCCCAAGGTTCAGTGCAATCTACTATAAGTTGTTTCTCCATCATGAAACTCTGTTCCAGTGTTCCCCAAGATAAGGAAGTGGCATACGGCTAGGGCTTGATGTAGAGAATGAGAATTACTGCATCATACATCTGCACATTGTTGAAGAAAAAGTCATTCAACAACGCTTGTTAAAGCATGGCAAGAAAGATGTTATTCAAGGAGGGCCATGGTGACAGGTATAGGTATAGGGCCCCAGTGCAATGGAGTTATGCACTGGGGGAGAAAGATTGGGCTGAATTCCAAATACAACATGAGCAAGTGGGAGTTGATAGCCCAGGAGCAGGGTGGAGTCAATGGATGAAAAATCACCCAGAGGAAACATTAGGGGAAAGGCTCAGGGTGACCCTATTTAACAGGACTCTTTGTGATGATCAAATATCACATGGGAAATGATGTGGATGAGGAATTTCAGGTGTCAAGGGGCGGGAGGTGCTGGTTAAACTTAGTAGCAGGTTTCTTACTAAAATTGGACAATGTAGAGATGGACATGGAAAGCCGAAAGTCAGGTCTTGTTGGAAAAGAGCTCAGGAGAACCTGTGTAGAGTTTGGTCAAGCAGAGAGTCTTTGTCAATATCCATCTTCACGTCATCATCTCTAGCCAATGCTTCTGAATTGGGTGAATCAGATGGGGCCGGTAAAGACAAGCACAGGGAATCAAAATAGGAAGGATCAGGAAAACTTTTAATCTTCTCAGATGTGCATCAGTGAAATTCAAGTTCCCAAAATAGTAGAAATAGTTTGGCCCCAGCTCACTCCCCCGACCTTAATGCTTAATATAGTTAAAATAAAGCCAAAAACATAAAGGCAAAACACTAAGAAAATATGGCCACATGATTTTATTTAATTTTGTGACAGAGGTACTAGTCATGAAGTATAGTTCATAAAGTGGCTGGATGTAGCTAATTGTTAAGTTTAAGATATACATTGATTATTTATGCTAATATCCTTGAGTCTTAATAAAACTGGTTTCCATCTTTTCTCTGTATTGCAGAGACCATCGTGTTTTCTCTCTTCACACATGGGCTCTTTGCGAATATGTATTCACTGGTCCTCGTGACTAGACAGTCCCTGGCTGGCGATTTTCTTGGTCACAATTTCTCTGGTCATAACGAGGAGAATGGGTATAGCCAAGGCAGCATGGAGGGAGCCAAAGCCAGTGCAGGACTGCTTGGGTGGAGGGAGAGGGAGAAGTACTGAGGCCTGGATCTTCTCCTCCTCCTACCACCCTCCATCACCTCGCAGGGGGCACGGCCTCATAAGTGCACCTCTCTGTGATCTGGCCCTGGACATGTAGAAATGGCTGACTGAGCAGCAGAGCTTGCACATCTCCATGTAATCCCACACGTGCAGGATTACATCAGTTACTCAGGCACCTGCAGGCATCTGTTGTCATATATTGTTGTTCCACTTTTTTTATTTTTTATTTTTTTTTTTTTTTTGAGACAGAGTCTTACTCTGTCACCCAGGCTGGAGTACAGGGGTGCGATGTCACTTCACTAAAACCTCCACCTCCCCAGTTCAAGCAATTCTCATGCCTCAGCCTCTGGGGTAGCTTGGATTACAGGCACCTGCCACCATGCCTGGCTAATTTTTGTATTTTTGGTAGAGACAGGGTTTCACCATGTCAGCCAGGCTGGTCTCAAACTCCTGACCTCGAGTCATCTGCCCAGCTTGTCCTCCCAAAGTGCTGGGATTACAGGCCTGAGCCACCATGCCTGGCCTGTGCCATTATTTTTAAATTTAAAATATTTAGTTCACAAATAAAAATTGTATGCATTTAAGGTGTACAACATGCTGATTTGATATATGTGTACATTGCATGCTGATAATGAATACATTGACTATTTACTTTGATTTCGTCATACTTAAATGTTTATTTTTATGGATTTCTCTTTAGCATTTGTAATCTCTAAGTAAACTAAAAAAAATCAAAAGTATACAGATGTGAAAAAATACCCATACAGTAGTGGTAGATAGAGATATGTAAATCTTTAAAACAGATGGTGGTGTAAATGACACTCTGACTTCTGTTTGCCCTTTCTCACTGAAATATTTCAAAAAAGGTATTGGATTCACAGTTAGGTGAAAAGAAAGGTTTTGTTTGTCAAACTCATTATTATTGTATGGTGATTAAAGTTTATCTTTTGTTTTTCAGATTTTTGCATAACAACAAATTATCTAAAATCCCGGCTGGGAGCTTTTCTAATCTGGATTCATTAAAAAGATTGTAAGTGAAAGCAAGTGCATTAACACAAAAACCTTATAATTTCCTCCAAAACAAATCCCAAACAATGGTTGGTTGCCTTCTCCTGCTTTTGCTGTGAAAGACATTGCAATTCTAGCATGTTAGGGAGAAAATGGCTTTGTTAACTGCAGAGCGATAGAGAACCCAGATAGTCTTCTGGGCTTTCATGTATTCTCTTAGAAGTGACATTTGAAAGGAGTATTGAAAATAGAAGTTTTCCTCGGTTCTCTGTAATATCCTTGCTGGCTAAATCTAAAGACTCCCAAGGCTTCCTTTTCCTTTAACTTTTTTATGAGTAAAGAGATGTGAGAAGTTCCAAAGAAAATCTGATTCCTCGGGCCAGGCTTCAGTTTTCCCTTGTTGTACGGAGTTGTCTTCCTACTCATTTCCTCCTACATTAAGCAAAACAAAACAAAAATCCCCATGCTTGCAAAGTCTGTGTTCTCCACGCCTTCCTTACTCCCTTCCGTGGGCTGTTGTCCATCACTTTTTTACACCATTGTCTCCACCCTCCTTCATTCCAGCTGTCTCTTCACTCCCATCTGTGTGTAGCCTTCTACACTATTGATGTTTTATTTTGTGGTTACCACCCCCTGCCCTCCCCCAGTCCTCGACCCCAAACACAAATATAAGTTCCAGTTATCAGAAAAGGATAGATGCCTGCTTCCCAGATGTCAGTCAGGGAGCACATAATGGAAAACTCACACAGGTGTATCCATCACTGGCCTTGGAGGCTGTATTAGTCTGTTCTCACACTGTTAATAAAGACATACCCGTGACTGGGTAGTTTATAAAGAAAAAGAGGTTTAACGGACTCACAGTTCCTCATGACTGGGGAAGCCTCACAGTCATGGCAGAAGATGAACAGAGAGCAAAGGAATGTCTTACGTGGTGGCAGGCAAGAGAGCCTGTGCAGGGAACTCCCATTTATAAAACCATCAGATCTCATAAGACTTATTCACTACTGTGAGAACAATGTGGGGGAAACTGCCCCTGTGATTTAGTACCCTTGACACATGGGGATTATTACAATTCAAGATGAGATTTTGGTGGGGACACAGTCAAACTATATCATTCCACCCTTGGCCCCTCCCAAATCTCATATCCTCACATTTGAAAACAAATCGTACCTTCCCAACAGTCCCCTAAAGTCTTAACTCATTTCAGCATTACTCAAAAGTCCACAGTCCAAAGTTTCATCTGAGACAAGGCAAGTCCCATCTTCCTATGAGCCTGTAAAATCAAAAGCAAGTTAGTTACTTCCTACATAAAATGGGGGTTCAGATGTCAGGTAAATACAGTCATTCCAAATGGCAGAAATTGGCCAGAATGAAGGGGCTACAGGTCCTATGCAAGTCCAAAGTCCAAAGGGATTTTCAAATCTTAAAGCTCCAAAATGATTTCCTTTGACTCCATGTCTCACGACCAGGCCATATTGATGGAAGAGGTGGGCTCCCATGGTCTTGGGCAGCTCTGCTCCTGTGGCTTTGCAGGGCACAGCCTCCTTCCTGGTTTCTTTCATGGGGTGTGTTGAGTGTCTGCAGCTTTTCCAGGTGCATAGTACAAGCTGTCAGTGGATCTACCATTCTGGGGTCTGGAGGATGTTGGCCCTCTTCTCACAGCTCCACTAGGCAGTGCCCCAGTAGGGACTCTGTGTGGGGGCTCCAACCCCGTATTTTCCTTCCACACTGCCCTGGCAGAGGTTCTCCATGAGGGCCCCATCCCTGCAGCAAACTTCTGCATGGACATTCAGGTATTTCTTTACATTCTCTGAAATCTAGGCAGAGGTTCCCAAACCTCAATTCTTGACTTCTGTACTCCCACAGGTCCAACACCACATGTAAGCTGCTAAGGCTTTGGACTTGCACCCTCTGAAGCAATGACCTGAGAAGTATGTTGACCCCTTTTAGTCATAACTAGAGCTGAAACAGCTGGGATGCAGAGCACCATGTTCAGAAACTGCATAGAAAAGTGGGGCCCCAGGCCTAGTCCATGAATTCATTTTTCCCTCCTAGGCCTCCAGGCCAGTGATGGGAGGAGCTGCCATTAAGTTCTCTGACATACCCTGGAGACATTTTCCCCATTGTCTTGGTGATTAACATTTGGCCCCTCATGACTTTTCATATTTCTGCAGCCAGCATGAATTTCTCCCCAGAAAATGGGTTTTTCTTTTCTACTGCAGCATCAGGCTACAAATTTTCAAAATTTTTATGCACTGTCACCTCTTGAATGCTTTGCCAACCAGAAATTTCTTCCACCAGATACCTGAAATCATCTCTCTCAAGTTCAAATTTCCACAGATCTCTAGGGCAGGGGCAAAATGCCACCAGTCTCTTTGCATAGCAAGAGTGGCCTTCACTCCAGTTCCCAACAAGTTCCCCATCTCCATCTGAGACTATCTCAGTCTGGATTTTATTGTCCATGTCACTATCAGCATTTTGGTCAAAGCTATTAAACATGTCTCTAGGAAATTCCAAGTTTTCCCACATCTCCCTGTCTTCTGAGCCCTCCAAGTCTCTAGGAAGTTCTAAACTTTCAAACAATTTTCTATCTGCTTCTGAACCCTCTAAACTGTTCCAACATCTGCCTGTTATCCAGTTCCAAAGTCCCTTCTACATTTTTGGGAATCTTTACAGCAGTGCCCCACTCCCAGTACCAATTTACTATATTAGTCTGTTCTCATACTGCTAATAAAGACACACATGAGACTGGGTAATTTATAAAGAAAAAGAGGTTTAATGGACTCACATTTCCACATGGCTAAGGAGGCCTCACAATCATGGCAGAAGATGAAGAAAGAGCACAGGAATGTCTTACATGGCAGCAGGCAAACGAACCTGTGCAGGGGAACTCCCATTTATAAAACCATCAGATCTTGTGAGACTTATTCACTACCATGAGAACAGTATGGGGGAAACCACCCCTATGACTCAATTATCTTCACCTGGCCCTGCCCTTGACATTTAGGGATTTTTGCATTTCAAGGTGAGATTTGGGTGGGGATACAGCCAAACCATATCAGAGGCTAATATAGTTTGGATGTTGTCCCCTCTAAATCTTATGTGCAATTGTAATCCCTAGTGTCAGATGTGGTGAATGATGGGAGGTCCGTGGGGGCAGATCCTTCATGGCTGAGTGCTGTCCTCCCAATATTGAGTGTGTTTTCTTGAGATCTGGTCATTACAACCTGTGTCACTCTCCACCCTTTCTCCTGCTTTCACCATGTGAAGTGCCTGCTTCTGCTCCTCCTTCCGCCATGAGTAAAAGCTTCCTGAGGCCTCCCCCAGAACTAATGCTGGCACTATGCTTCCTGTACAGCCTACAGAACCATGACCCAATTAAATCTCTTTTCTTATAAATTACCCAGTCTTAGGTATTTTTTTATGGCAATTCAAGAATGACCTAATACAGAGGCCACTTTTGTTGTGGTTGCTCTTCTAATATTGTGTTCCTAGACACAGGTCCATGAGCAAGAGAATGTTATGATTAAGTAAAAATTAGAGCCCTGAGGAAAATAAATCCAGGCCCAACTGGTGCCCAGAAATAACACTCATAATCTTTGAGTTTAATCAAGGAGACATTTCATGCACTCCTAATCCTTTTCTTCAAGTCTTTATTTCCTACTTTCTTGGTAATTCTCATGTCAGACACACATAATGCTGCTTCCCAGTCTTCTTGATGTTCTTTGACTGTATCTAAGCCCTCAAAAGTCTTGGATATGGTCATCAACTGACCATATCTATCTATCTATCTATCTATCTATCTATCTATCTATCTATCTATCTATCTATCTAATCTATCTGTAAAGTGGTATGAGTGTAGATTTGTTACATGGATATATAGCATAGTGGTGAAATCTGGGTTTTTAATGTAGCCATCACCCTAATGGTGTACACTGCACCCATTAGATAATTTCTCATGCCTCAAGCCCACTCCACCCTCTCACTTTTCTGATTCTCCAATGTCTATTATTTCACTCCCTATATCCATGTGTATGCATTATTTAGCTCCCACTTGTAAGCTTGAAAACATGAGGTATTTGACTTTCTGTTTCTGAGTTATTTCACTAAAGATAATGGCTTCCAGTTCCATCCATGATGACTGCCAAAGTTTTCTTACTTGTCGGAACTGGCTGCACCAGCCATTTGGAATAACACATCCATTTATTCTTGTTTTTCAGTCCTATGTGGGATATGCAAAATGCCAAGACATTTTGTAACAGGGTCATAGGATGTTCCATTTTGGTGGTGGGAGAAATATTGTGTATTATTTTCTACTTGTCTGTTTTCTCTCTTTTTTTGAATTTGTTACATCAAATACGGTTAGAATCACTGTCTTTGTATATTTGCAATTATAATTCCCATGCAGTGTTTCTTGTCTATATAAATTTTTATCTGGGTCATTCTTGCCTTCTGTGACTCAGAGAAAGTTTTGAAGTGCCAAATCCCTTAGTTTTTTCTAATCTCTTTTTATTATTCTTTCCTGTTAAATCTTAGTAGCAGCTTTTTTGTTCCAGCCTCCTCTTACATTTACTGAAACAGCATTCACTCCATTGCTGGAACACACATGCAAAAATAACTGCCAATAAAGAGGCTGAGGGAGTTCTCCTTACAGTGATGTGCCAGTATGCACCTTACATGCATGCACTGTGCATCCAAATGTTTTCAGATGATTTTTTTAGTTTGTTATTTTGATGAAGTATCTTTATTTTATGAACTTATTTTGTGGGAAACTGACACACAGATGATTTGAGCAAACTGCTCAGGGTCCATGAAATCCTGATGGGTCCAAGATGGGGTGGAAACTGGGCATCTGTTTATTCCAAATCCTCAACTTGTGTCTTATTTAGGCTACAATTTAGATGAGAACAACAGAATATAGGAGAGCAATAGAGGGCTACGCCTACTATTAAATAAATTCCACCTTCAACAATAAAGTTTTTCAGCTGAGGGGTGTCCACTCACTGATAGCATGTGAGGGCAGAGAAACCAGTGGGAATTCTGCCCTTGACTCCAGGCTTGGCACTATGAAGGTCATCTGACCCGCTGGGTTCTCCATCTGTCATACCGTTTCTAACTCATGACAATCACACCCTTCACAAGTGGACTATAAAAATCAATAAAATGTTCTTGATTTTGTTTTGTTTAAAAGTGTTTTTGGATCTCTAAGTGAAAGGGATTGTGTAAGTACAAGTGAGGTGTTACTGTTTTCAAATGGAAAAGATTAATTTACCTGGCACCACTTTTTTCCTTTGAAATTTTTCATTGAGCAGAGAATATATCCAAGTGAGTAATTATTTTAGTGCTGTGATTCTTGACTGCATACCATCAGAGGGGCTTTCATTTATTATACTTGGTATGATATTTGATGTAAGAGCACTTTCAAAATGGAGAACAGTAAAATAATGATTTTAAACATAGTGTATTCAATATTTAGTATAGTCTAATAAAAGTTCATAAGAACCATCTTTCTTATTGATTGACCCTATTGCTTCTTAGTTTTCAATAATCATGGCTCTAAATTATAGGCAAAATTTTGAAAACGTTTTCTCATGATAAATTTGAAAATTATTTATAAAGATTACTCAGATTATCATATGAAAGTATAGTTTTACTACTAGATTATTTTCCAAACACAAAAGGAGTTTTTCAATTGGCAAGTGAAAATCTGTATCCTTTTGTTGTTTTCTTCATGTTTTGCAACTCCACTATGGATGAGTATCTTAAATTGAAAATAATAATTAGAAAGAAATGAAATCTTGTGCTCAGTTGTTACCGAAACACATAAGCATGAGGATGCATAAGGGAAGGTATAACTGAGGGAAGGCGATGAGTAAGCTGTGATGACTCTGGGAAATGGGACAACTGCATGGTGAGGCTGCCATGCTCGGGATGCTCCCAGAGGATGTATATTCACATCCTTGCTTATGTTCAATTTAGACGAATGTCATGGTGATGCTGAAGCGAGAACTTACTCCTTTATATTTAGAGGAGTAAGTTCTTGTATGTTCTTTTTTGAGAAAATTACAAGAAATTAAACTCAAAATGTAAATGTGAATGTTGAACACAATACTGTTGAACAAGATCTGTTTTATAGCCATGTAGCTGGTACAATAAATCAGTCAGTGACAAGGAACAGCCAAGGCCCGCTGAACCAACAGCGCTCTCCTGAACAAGTGCTAGTTGACTTTTACGACTTACACCTCACTCCCGACAAGGCTGACAGAATTCCCTACTTTAGCCATGGCTTTATATTCTCACGTTAGTGTGAAGTCTTGTTGGAAACATTAAGCAAATAATATCTATATGGTTAACTAACTTTTCAATAAGTGCAAATTTTTTTCCCTTTAGCAATTTAAAGCTACTAAATATAGCTATCATTTTCAGGGTAATATAATAAAATTTAGATACAGTTATAAAAATTAGTCATATGAATTGGGTATCTACAAAACATTTTATGAAACTGTCAGATAATAAGACTTTCTTAATTTTATTAAAATGTATACAGTTGTTTTAGGAAGTGTTTTAATTTCTCCGTCTAGAGAATAGCACAATTTTTTACTTTCAGGTTTGTCTCTTCCAGTATCATGACATTGATGCAAATTTCTAAATTAATACAGTGAAGTGATTTTTTTATTTGCAAATTGATATCTTTAGATTTAATTTATGTTTGTGTGTTTGTTTTCCATATTTGTAAGGACTTTTGTGCATGAATAATTTTGATTAAAAGTTATTAAAATTATGGCATTTTGTATTCTCCTCCAGTCACATAGGACACTACTTCTTACAATCAGGTAGAAGCAATCTAACACCTATTGTAAATATGTTCACATTACTGTTTCATTGCTGGACTTCCTTGCATAGAGTGTGATCCAGTTGCCACCATAGACAGACTTGTGAATTCCACTTAGCAAAAGCTCCCTTTTTAACCCACTGGGAGAAATGAAAAAAGTATTAATCATTTCTATACCTTTTTGCCAGACATCTTTTGGCAAGAATGGAGGTACATACACATAAATCTCTTTGGTGATCTATTTTATTTCATGAGGAAAAATATGCTAGAAAAAATTAGTGAAGTACAGTAAATCTTGGCAAAAATGAATAACTTGTGTGCCTATATTAGGAAACATCATAAAGAAATGAAAAGAGCCATTGCCTTCCTATTACAGTCTGCATGTGGCAATTCCAGAGGGGGACCTTCTAACCGGGACTTTGAGCATTACAAAGAAGGAAAGCTTGGCTTCTGTCCTTTAGAGCAAATGGAAAACACAGAGAACACATGCCTATCCATATTAATGCCAAGGAGTTTACAAAAGAAAAAAGCCAACTTCCTGGGGGAGCTGCGTGGATCACACATCACATTTATAAGCCTCCTTTGGGCAGCAAAAGCTTCTACCACTCTTTTGAGTAATCCAAAAATATTGAAATACCACCACCACATTACAGCTTCCTTGTTCTATAACACATAAACAAAGCAAACTGGAACATTTCCATACTTACAGCTTTTTGGTTTGTTTGTTTGTTTTTGCTTTTGGGACAGGGTCTCACTTTGTCACCCAGGCTGGAGTGCAGTGATGCCTTCACAGCTCACTGCAGCCTCCAACTCCTGGGCTCAAGTGGTTCTCCCACCTCAGCCTCCCAAGTGGCTGGGACTACAGGCGGGTGCCACCATGCCTGGCTATCTAAAAAAATTGTATATACAGCCATAAAAAATAATGAAATAATGTCCTTTGCCCAACATGTCTATAACTGAAGGCCATTATCCTAAGTGAATTAATGCAGGAACAGTAAACCAAAAACCATATGTTCTCACTTGTAAGTGGGATCTAAATATTGGATACTCATAGTTATAAAAATGACAATGATAGACACTAGGGACTACTGGTGAGGGAAGGGAGGGAGGGGAGTGAGGGTTGTAAAACTATTGGGTACTATGTTGAGTATGTTGGTGATGGGATCAACAGGACTGCAAACCTCAGCATTATGCAATATACCCAGGTAACAAACTGCACATGTACCCCCTGAATCTAGAATAAAAGTTGAAACCATAAAGAAATTAAAGAAAATTTTTATCTTTGGAGATGGAACTTTGCTAGAATGCCCAGGCTGGTCTCAGACTCCTGGCCTCGAGTGATGCTTTTGCCTAGGCCTCCCAAAGCGCTTGAATTATAGGCGTGAGCCACTGCACCTGGCCATACTTACAGTTTTAATTCTACATTTCTCTAACACAAATAAGGTTTCATTTCACCTCACAATTATTTATTTGTAATAGACATAGTGCACATTAAGGGAAAACCGCTTTTCCAGTTTTAAAGTGACTTCTCAAAAACATGGTTAATATGAAAATGTGTCTACTTTGTGCAAGATATGCAACAAGTTAAGTGATTCTTAAAATCTGTTTATTGGTTAATAGAATCCTGGAGTCAAAAATGTAACAGACAAGGTAAATCAGGGGGAAATTAAATATTACCACTCAAAAGATTTATCATAGAAATTAATAGTCCCTTTTAACAGTTGTACTTCTTGCCTGCATTCCTAGGCGTCTGGATTCCAATGTCCTGGTTTGTGACTGTGATCTGATGTGGCTGGGGGAGCTTTTACAAGGCTTTGCCCAACAGGGCCACACCCAGGCTGCGGCTACATGTGAATATCCCAGGAGACTCCAAGGACGTGCAGTTGCTTCAGTAACAGTAGAGGAATTCAATTGCCGTACGTAAATTTCAATGTGTACATAACATAGAAATGTCTCTCATTTGCTCTCTTTCTGTAAAGGTTTATTATACAATATGCATTTTAGAGGAACGTGTTATTGGAAAGTGTTTTTAAGGAATGTGGTAAAAGTATTGCCAATTTCCTTTCCATCATCTGCATTTTCATTTAAAGAAGGTTTTATCAACATAAAATTAAGAGCTGAAAGAGTCTTTGAGGAACATTTAATTTCCATAATTTCAGGGGAGAAATATTGAGAAAACTGATTTTCAACAAGGTCACCAGAAGTGGTATCCAACATTAAAATCTCCACTTATTCCTTGGTATGACTTAATGTTAATAATCAATAAGTTAGGGGTTTCAACTTTAGATCAAATAATTGCTAATATTTATTGCTGAGAAAGCCCCTCAACAAATCCCGTAATTGATTTTTTTTTTTTTTTTTCCCCGAGACGGAGTCTCGCTCTGTCGCCCAGGCTGGAGTGCAGTGGCCGGATCTCAGCTCACTGCAACGTAATTGATTTTTTAAATGTATAATGGGATCATGAATATGACTAAAATAATGAAAATCAGTCTTACTGTCTCATTGTAAATTTTTAAATAATGGAAGCCTTGGATTTAATAAGCATATGGTTATATTCTGACAACCTTACTAAAGCAATAGGCTTTGCCTAAATAATTTATTGTGGCTGATTACAATATTATTTGATTTTCATTTAAAGCTTTTCATGTGAATATAAGGATATATCTCTATGTATCTCTATTCTTGTATTTCGGATTAAATAGAAAAAAATGAACACCCTCGTGTGTGTATGCATGTGTGTGATAAATCAGTGTTTTGGAGATTCGCTCAGATGACTGCTGTAATTACAGCAAAAATTTGCTTTCCACTCTCTCACTGGCAAGTCATTTTTTGAATTTCTCTAAACAAGTAATTAAAAATCACATCAATATAATTAATTTATATTCAAATTGAGAAGAAAATTGACTTGGTCTTTACTACCCAAAATTCTCAAGCTTGTCCATAGCTCCCATCTTTCCTACTAACTTCTAGTTCAAACCACAGTCAAGTTTGGCTGGATTGCTTCACATCTTAACTGATATCCCAGCTTTCATTTTTCTTGCTCCTTTATGTTTGGGAAAATTGTTTAAAAACACATCTTATTACATCATTTCTTCACCCATAATCCTTATATAGGTTCCTACCTTAAAATAAAGCACACAATTCTTAATGTTGTTGATTCTTTTAGTACAGTCCTTCCTGGCTACACTGTGCTCCTCCAGTCACTTACTCTTTTCTCAGTGTTGTAGCCACCTCAGTGTTCTCCATTCTTGGAAGTTCTTAAGTCTTTCTTCAACCCAAGGACTTTTTACATGCTGTCTTTCCTGCCTACAATATTCTGATTCTACTTCTTTTCATGGTTCTCTTAAATATGAATTCCATGGAAAGCCTTCATTTAAACCCCCTTCCCACTGTCCTACCTATCCCTCCATACTGAATCAGGTTCCTTTCTATAATCCATCAAAACATCATTTATTTTCCATCTAAGTAGTTGCTGCCTATGTTAATGTGTGTGTGTGTGTGTGTGCGCGCGCGCGTGCGTGTGTTTGTGTGTGTGTTTATTTTCAACTGCTTCAATGAAACTGTGAACCATTTGGTACAGAGACCTTGTCTATTTTGAACATTGCTTCAGCACTAGTCCTAGTGCCTTGTCTGGCACATAGCTGATGTTGAATTTTTTTTTTAATTACATAAACGAATAAAATCACTTATCTAAAGAGAATAAAGCCAAGATATTAATTATATGGACTTTCAATGAAGTATGCAAGATTAATAAAGATCTACGGAATGTTCTACAGACATAATAGTCATGGTTAATGACAGGTAATTTCAGATAAGGCACTTATAAAAAGAAGAGTTTTGTTACTTAGAAAGGTTTAAAGGGAATTAAGTGAAACTATAGAAAACTAAAAGTTCCTTTTGTGCATTGTTCTTTATAATTTAAGTTCAATAATATTACCTGATTCATTACAAAATCAATCACTCCATCTTCTTATTAAAATAATTTAAGTGTTTTCATGTTTTACCACTCAATTATTATTGGAAGATGGAATCATTCATTTATATAGATAAGAATTTTGCTCAACCAGGTTTGAGGTCTAGACATATCACTTGTTGTAAATTGTGTAAAGTGGGTGGTTGGGTGCTTAGATGGCTAATTGTCTAGGAAGAGTGCCTGCACAATTGCAAGCTCAGTTTAAGTACTTGGTTTGAAAAATTGATCCATAAAATAAAACTCCTTCCATAAATATGGTGGTGTTGAGCTCCTAGAAATAAAAGCACAGGAAAATTTACTTAATTTACTTCATTGGAGATCCCTTCGTGCAGTGAATCTTTCAAACTTCTAAAGTATAAGTCAAATATATGTCTAATCTCTAACCTGGTGCATGTGTTACTGGGTAAATGCAGTTCGATGTGTAAAACTTTAATGTAGAAATAAATTTAAATTGCCTATATCTCTTTCTCAGCATCTTAGAAGGCCATAATTTTGTATCTTTGAAAAATATATTAATAATTCTTCTGTTGCAGAGAGCCCCCGAATTACTTTTGAGCCCCAAGATGTGGAGGTACCATCAGGAAATACTGTCTATTTCACCTGTCGGGCAGAAGGAAACCCCAAACCTGAGATTATTTGGATACACAACAAGTAAATACTGAGCATGGACATGGGTTGTGATTCTCTTTCTGATTCCAGCTATCTTTTTAACTCAATTTAACTTCTTTATCTAGAGAAGAAATTGATAAAATTGTCAGAGTTTCTTAAACATAAAAAGTCTTTTAACTTTTATCTTTTGACTAACTCAAGCTATGTAAAGGCCTTTTTCTTAAAACTTATACATTTCCGGCCGGGCACGGTGGCTCATGCCTGTAATCCCAGCACTTTGGGAGGCCGAGGTGGGCAGATCACGAGGTCAGCAGATCAAGACCATCCTGGCTAACATGGCGAAACCGCTCTGCTACGCTAAAAAAAAGATTGCGCGGGTGTGTGGCAGCGGCGTAGTCCCAGCTACCTAGGGAGGACTGATGCAGAGAATAGCTGGACTGGGAGGCGGGAGCTTCGGTGAGCCGGAGATTGTGGCACTGCTCCAGCCTTGGGCTGCCAGAGTCGAGACCCGTTCAAAGAAAGAAAAAAAAAAAAAAAAAAAAAGGTATACAATTTCCGATCTTAGTGGATTCTGTGAACTGACAAAATATTCTGATTATTCTCTAAGAAGGAAAATGTTGGGATTAATAACAAACTGGTTTGTTTTACAAGCTGAATAATTTGATAAGCCCCATCTAAGCTTATTGCAGAGGTTTAAACTGCATACTTCATATTTGATAATTGCAACTTGCCTATTGGTAATTCAGTATAGGATTCTTTAGCAAACTAGGAAAGAATGACATTCAAAATTAATTTTTAGAAAAGGAGTCATTTATTTTGATGCTCATGGTGACTTTTGATAAACTAAACCAATGGTTCAAAGACCTGTGTGTATAAAAGTTAAATAGTAACAAACCAAACGTTTAAGAAGTTAAACGTGATCACCATTCATAGACGGCATGAGAATGGTCAGTCTCATTGTAGTTTGTGATTTTGCATTTCTCTACTAGGATCGTAGTGATGAAGAGCTTCTTTTTCATGCGTTGTGGCAATGAAATGTCTGGCGTTTCTGAGAGGTTCTTCATATCTTTGTCCTTTTTGTTTTTTTTTCTTTTGTAATTTGTTTAAGTTCGCTTGTAGATTCTCATATTAGCTCTTTGTTCAATGGATAGATTGTAAAAATTTTCTCTGAGGTTGCCTTTCATCTGGATTGATAGTTTCTTTTGCTGTGCATGAAGTTCTTTAGTTTAATGTAGATCCCATTTGTCAGTTTGTCGCTTTTGTTGCCTTGCATGTTGTGTATTTGAAGTTCATGAAGTCGTTGCCCATGCCTACGGCACTGAATGGTATTGCCGTAGGATTTTTTATAGGGATTTTATGTTTTAGGTCTTACGTTTAAGGCTGTAAGTCCATCTTGAGTTAATTTTGTAATAACCGGTGTAAGTGAAGGGTCCAGTTGTCAGTTTTCTGCATAGTGGCTAGCCAGTTTTTCCCCAAATACCATTTGTTAAATGGAGAATCTTCCCCAGTTGCTTGTTTTTGTCAGGTGTGGTCAGTCTAAGGATTATTTTGTAGATGTGTGGCATTTTTTCTGAAGAACCTCTGTCGTCATTGGTCTACTATATTGTTTTAAACTGAGAAACTGGTAGTTTAAAGTAGAAATAGAGAATAAGAGTGCACTATATATAGGACTATAATTCAATGTAGACTTGGATGAATGTTACTATCATTAGTTAATGTTACTGATATTATGCATGGTTTTCAACGTGTCCCTTATTCGTGTCACATGTTCACTGATTTTCTTTTGTCACGTGTATAATCAACTCTGATTCTTTTTGCTTGTCTGTATAAAATATTCTAAAACATATTATACATTTTTTTGCTTTTTGCATATAATTTAGATTTATAATTGTAGCCAGAAACTAAGCCATGTGTTTTAAATTCTTGTAAAAAGTCTAGTAAGTATAGGTTAAAAATAACTTATATAGAAGGCAATTATGAATAGTATTAAATCTGGAATCTAGCCCATGAGAAAGATTTCAACTGATAGAAGTGTTCAATTTATTTCCATCTTGAGATTGCTCAAGTGTGCTTGAGAAACAGAAATCACTGCTTGTAATGTCCTAAAACTGCTTTTTCTGCCTTCTTACAATTTAAATTTTAAAATGATGTGTTCGAGGTTACAAAGATACTCACTAGTATTTAGAAAGAAACAAGTGAAAAAATCACATTGCCTATTTTAACTTATGACATAAAAGTTTCAAATATAGTGACTAAAGAAGCTAAGATGCAGTTGAAAGGAAAACAAAGAAATCTAAAAAGAAAGAATAGAATAAAGAAAAAAAAGTATGGGTAAAAATGTTCGTTAAAATGTTAATCATTTTATATTAAAAAATTAAAGATGAAAGAGAAGAGTTTATGACAAGAAATGTTTAACATGTTTAACATGAGCAACTATTAACTTACTGATTATTTACTGTTGAGTATTTTTTATAGAAAGATAATATATATCCTGAAAGTGCATGGAGCATAAAGTGTGGTATAGCAAATAATTTGAAACAAACATCTGTTCGACATGAACTAGGGTAAGAAAAAATACCCTAACTCAGAAGCTACCCACCCATCTGTCCTTTCATTATCATTATCCTTTTCTACTCCCCTCGAGAGGGCCTGGATTTAGGGTCCTTAGATGAGTGGATTAAAAACTGATTAGACACAACCAGAGGTAGAATTGGAAGATTAGAAAGTAGGTAGGTGGGAATAAACAGATTTAAGTATGGTTATGAGACATGGAGGCTACAATGCAAAGGTCTAGTGTCTATCCAGTAGGAGTTCCAGAAAGGCAGGTAGGAAAGAGTGAGCTAAAGGAAACGTTTGAAAAGGTAACGATAGAATTATCCAGAAATAAAAAAGTCACACAATTTCAGAATGAGAAGTATATTGATTCCAAAATACGATTTAAAAAATAAATCTGTACTCTTCATTGTGATCACAACATTGAAAGTCAGAGACAAAAATCTTTCATTCACAAGTAATTTGCCGATTACCTTCAAATGTGCAGCAATTATACTTGCAGTAAACTTTACGTCAGACAGAAGACAATGAAATATATTTAGGATGTTAAGGAAAAATAACTGATTTCCTTCAATTTTACATCCAGCTAAATTATCTGACATGGTAAAATAAAACCATTTTTAGGCAAAGAATAGAGCTTTATTCAGGAATATTTGATGAAAGAACTACAAATAGATGTGTTTCAGTAAGTAAGAATTTGATCCAATAAGAAAGATGTGATTTGCAAAAAGCAAATTTGAACAAAGAAAGTTTTAAACATGTTGATAAATATGAATAAACTTAGATTACTAAATTAAGGATTGAACAACTTTAAAGTAAGAAAAAAGTAGAATGTTAGACAATATTAATAGAAGAGTTATAAGGAGAGAGAAAATAATTAAATTATTTTACATGCCTCATTTTTTTGGTGGAGAGTGATACTGTGAATTCTGTTAAGTCAAGAGTGCATGTTAACAATTAAGATGAAATACTAACAAATAGAAAGATCCTTCCACACTAGGAGAAGAAAAAAAGTGGATAAAGAAAACTGGATCAATACACAAAATGGAAGCGGGGATGGATTAAAAAGACAGAGAAAAGGCTTGGGAAAGAGAAAATATAAAATAACTCATCAGAAATAAATTTAAACATATTAGTAAAAACAATAAATAGTCTATTTGAAGACATAATATTGAATTTTAATATCCAGCTATATGCTATTTATAAGAGGTATATCTGAAACATTATGACACTGAAAGGTGGAAGGTCGATAGGTAAACAAATATATCAACTAAGTTTTACTGATCAAGATAAGGATGATGTAAGAATATTATAGTGTAATCGCATATCATTAGATCATACTTAATGATAAAAATTGTAATTTACCTGAATTTAAAATTCATGAACATTTATATACCTAACAAAATAGCTGCTAAAGAATAAAACAAGATTGAGAGAATTATAAGGATATATTTACATAAATCCAATTATAGCAAGAAATTTCAATACTGCTTTCCCAGAAAGATTAGGAACAAAAATTAGTAGCAATATCTAAACATAGCTTAGAACACTGATGATATCTACTATATACAAAGCTAACATACTATATTTCAAGCAGTTATAGAACACTTATCAACATTGATCACAAAAGACACAAAGACACAAAATCTCAACTCATAGCTAAGAATCGATTTCATGAAAATCCCTTCCTTTTATTATAATTTAAACAAATTTTAGAAAACAGTCATTCGTCAAGATAATTTTAGAGATTCTTTATGCTTCTCAGTAGGAAAATGAAATGATTACCAGCACTTAATAAGTAGTTTTAGAATAACTGAATAGATTCAAAGATGAGAGAAACCTTCCAGGCTGAAGAAAGAATAATTAAAAACTCAGAATGAAAATAAATGAAGGTTAGTTTCAGGAAAGTGTGTAGAGCACATTTGTAAGAATTAAGGTTTTACCTTGGGGAGAAATAGAAAAAGATTAAATAATAATGGCAAAACTAATGACTTGGGCTTTCAGTTTACAAACTTTGAGACCCATTAGAAGATGTTGAGCAAGACAATGACTTGATGAAAGAGATGTAAAAACCAACCAGACTTTTCTGTTTCTTTTTCAACTTGTATTGTAGATTCTGGGGGTACAAGTGCAGGCTTGTTACAAAGGTATACGACATGATGCTGAGGTTTGGAATATGACTGAACCGTCACCCAAGAAGTGAGCATAGTAACAAATACGTAGTTTTTCAATGCTTATCTCCCTCCCTACCTCTCCATCACGTATTCCCCAGTGTCTAATGTTCCCATTTTTACGTCCATATGTACCCAATATTTAGCTCTCACTTACAAGTGAGAATATTTGTAAGTTTGTAAAAACAAACAGTATTTGTTTGCTGTCGTTGTTGTTCCTATATTAGTTCACTTAGGATAATGGCCTTCAACTGCATTCAGATTGTTGCAAAGGACATGATTCCATTATTTTTTATGGCTGCATAGTATTCCAAGGTG